AATTAGAGTAATTCTTATTCATTAAAGCAGGTTTCCTAATGGCAGCAAATCTGACCCCTCGTGGTAATTCAGATGTAATATGGAACACTGGGTAGACCTACAGTAATAAAATGGCACTATTTCAAACTCAGATTTTTCACTAATTTACACAAACCTTTCACCAAATCAGTCTGAATTAATGAGACACCACTTTACTGTCTCTACCTAAAAATACTAGGGCTATTATGTGCTCTTTAAAATTCCTCTCTTTATGTTGCAAAACGAAAGAAAACCTATCATTTTAATTTGACATACAGGGAGGGACTTGTGTCTCTTTAGGAATCTGGGGTTTGATTTAGAATTCTTGTGAGCACAGAACCTTGTGCCATGCTGTGACTTACCTGTCTGGGTTTACCTAATAAAAGTTCAATAAAAATAGGCTGTATTTTTTAAAATTCTGGATTATACAAAAACTCACTTACGTGGGAGTCTGGGATCACATTAGAACCTCCACCAGTAGACTATCATGCAAATAAAAGCTCTACTGCAAGGTTCTTCATCAATAGACACCATTTCTCTTCAGGATGGTCTCGCTTTTCCCCTAGGGCCTGCTGCTGGCTTCTCCAGCTAGCCTCATCACAGACTTTCCAAGTGTGCCCATCTGCTTCCTGTACAATTAGTAAGGAAATAATTGGGGCATTGCTGTAGAGGCCAATTGTAGCGAAAAGACCACACAAGTAAGAAAGTGTGGATACGTTCTCCAGCGGAAAATTACAAGTTTGCTTGGTTTCAATCATTGGCACCAAGTCTTGGGTTCCTCATCACTGAATTGACTTCTTTCTACTTGGCTTTCTCTTGGCCAATGTCCTGGCACACTATCAGAGGAAAAAATAATTAGAAAGAAGTGTCTTATAGGGCTGAGAGGCACTGGTAGCTTACCAGATGGGGATAATCATGGATCTTCAAACAAATCCTTGACCAGGCAGTAGCACCATTTGTCTTCTTGCCTAAATCAACTATATGCAGTGTTCATACCTCCTGAAACACCTGCGTACGGAGAGAGCTGGGACGTTTGCTTGGTTTTCTCTCCTTCTCAGAGGAACCCGTTGGTGGCTCTTCAGTACCAGGTGGGTCTTCAGTGACCCAACTGTAGTTAGCCCCAAAGAGTTTTCCAAAAGCTTCCCTCATCTTCTCAGAGTTCTTATGTTGCTGTGGAGGAAAGGGGCCCATCTCATTCTTGGTTCACTCATGATTCCAGTTATGTGAGTGTGGGGTGGGGTGTGAAGGTGGGAGAAGCAGCTTATTATTATTTTTATATTATTATTTTTATAAAAATGACTCCTGCTAATTGTAAAAATATCAAAGTATAGATATGCAGTTAAAAAGCACCTGACATGTCACCTTTCAGAGGTAACAAGTATATCACTTTGGTGAGTGTTTCTAGTAATCTCTCTGATGTGTATAATTATTCATACAGCATTTCTCAAATACATTTGAGAGCATGGTGTTAATTTGTGCTCCTCGGGAAGCTGACCCTGAGACAAGGATGGGAAAGGAAGCAATTCACTTGGGAGGTGCAGCAAACAATACTGAGGAATGGGAAAGTAAGACAGGGAGGGTGAGGCAGCCAATTAAGGGTGGTTATCAAGTTAGTTGCTACTGTGGGTGGATGCAGCTTAATCCCACAGAGGAACTCTGGGAAATGGTGTAGTACATGTACATGCCTCAGAGATATCTCATTGGAAGAGTGAGGGAGCAGGAGTATTTATACCCCAGTATTATTGGCTGAGGCTGCCCCCAGTAGGTGTTAATTCTGAGCACTTCCAGCCTGAACAGCCTTCAGAGACATTGGAGAAAGCCCCCCAGGAAAAAGAGTAAGATGCTAGCAGGCAGAGGATAGCCAGACACACACACAGAAGTGGTACTGCTTGAAATATGTGCCAAGCACTGTTCTAGGTGCTGCGACACAGCAGGAAACAAAACAGAAGAAGAGCCCTGCCCTCATGGAGCATTTCTTCTTTTGGGGAACAGACGATAAACAGGGCAAGTAAAAAACATATGGAGTGTGTTACCTGGTAACAAGGACTGTGGAGAAAAATAAGTACTGTGGCGTTCTGGGGAGGAGGGGGAAGGGGTTGGCTGTAATCAGCAAAAGAGGGATCAGAACAGGCCTCACTGAGAAGATGACACTCAAGTAAAGACCCAAAGGAGGGGAGGGGAAGCCCACCATATGGTTACTTGGGTGAAGAACATTCCAGACAGAGGAAACAGCAAGCGCAAAAGGCCCTAAGGCAGGAATGTCCTGGTGTGTGAGGAACAGCAAGGCCTATAAAGCTGATGCAGGTGAGGGGGAAAACAGCAGGAGAGGAAGCCCCGCAGAGCAGAACCTTGCTGCCACTGCATGCCTTAGGCTCCTAGCTGGAGTGAGACGGAAGAAAGTTACAGGAGAGCTGGAGCAGAGGATGACAGAATTGAACTGAGGTTTTGACAGGATTGAACTGAGGTTTTAACAGGATCGCTCTGGCTGCTGTGCTGAGGATGCACTGAAGAGGGGCAAGGGTGGAAGCAGGGAGAACAGTGAGGAGGCAACTGCAGTACTCCAGGTGGTAGCAGTAGAAGAGTGAGAAGCAGTTGGATTCCGGAAATATTTTGAAGGTAGAGCCAAGGTGATTTGTGGGCAGGCTGGATGTGGGATGCGAGAGAAGGAAAGAAGTCAGTGGATCTGGCCTGAGCAACTGGAAAAATGGAGCTGCCTTTTCCTGAATCTGGGAAAACTTCAGAAGGAGCAAGTTTGGGGTCAGGGGTGATTGGGGGCCTGGCTTTGGGCATATTAAATTTGTGATGTCTGTTAGCTACCTAAGTGGAGAGGTCAGCAGGAAGTTGAATATCAGGGTCTGGAGTTCAGAAGAGGTGCAAACTGGATATAAACTGGGGAGTCTGTCAGCATATAGATGGTATGAGCCATGAGACTGGCTGAGATCTCCAAGAGAGCAAGCTAGATAGAAAAGAAGTCTGGGCCTGAACCCTGAGCCCTCAGGGAGATGGAGCACTGAGCAAAGGAGACTGAGCAGGAGCAGCCAGAGTGTGGTGTCCTGAGAGCCAAGCGCAGAAAGCATTTCTAGGAGTGGGGAGTGGTCGACTGTATGTATGTGTATGCATGCGCTACATTAATATAGACATATATGCAGAAACACACTCTCTCTCTTGATATATACATACACACAGAGATAGTTTTAGATCAACAGTGTTGTACTATATAAACAGATCTGTAACTCGACTATCTTCCCACTGAATCTATTGGGAATAGTGCTTTACGGCAAATATATCTGTCCACTCCACTATTTTAATGGCTGCATGGTATTTCATTGTGTACATGTACCATAATTAATTTCTCCCTCTAAATATTTTTCCCAGTTATAGAATTCTAAATTACAGAGCAATGGGCATCTCATGCATTCATCCTTTCATACCCGTGTGATCATCTCCTTGGCATAAACCCTAGAAATCAGGTTGCTGTGTGCAAGGATATGCCCTTTTTATGTTCTAATTCAAGACCGCTTCCTGGGCAGCTCCAATAATCCGAAATGTATTCAACATGGAACAGCCACTGACCTCACGGCAGAACTGCTGGGATGTCATTTCAGGTAGACCCTATTCTACAGAGACCCTTCTGAGCACAGAGAAGACACAGGGCAGCGTTCTGGGTAATCACTGTTAGAAACTGGGCAGAGGTTTGGATCAAGTCAGAAAAATCCACAACAGGAAGCAATCTCTCGGTGCTAGCCCTGAGCTTGACACATGGAGCTGCAGCCGACTTCTGAGTGTAGAACCACTCCATTTTCACGTAGAGCAGAACGAGTCTCCAGGCCTGCAGGCTCTCCAGCAGAGCCACTAAGAGCTTATTACGTCAAGAGCGAATGCAGCAGGGCCGACTCTGTGGCTTAGCGGTTAAGCACACACGCTCGGCTGCTGGCGGCCTGGGTTCGGATCCCGGGTGCGCACCAACGCACCGCTTCTCGGGCCATGCTGAGGCCGCGTCCCACATACAGCAACTAGAAGGCTGTGCAACTATGACATACAACTATCTATTGGGGCTTTGGGGGGAAAAATAAATAAATAAAAATTAAAAAAAAAAAGAGCAAATACAGCAGATGAAGGCAGATATGCCTTTTGTGAAATGACTGTAATTAACTCCAAATCTTTGTCCATACTTTATTTTTGCTGGCTGGATTTGTCATCTTGCTGTTAGAACAAGCCTATTACATACCTCAGATTTTCCCCTTTACCTTGTTATTCTGAGTAAAAGCATGACTCCACCACCTGTCTGGGCCCATAGCGAGGCTTTGTCTGAATGGTGTCAGGACGCCCTGCACTTTCAATCGCAACCTTGAAAATAACATCTACCACTGCCAGGCAGTTGGCTGACAGCCTCTGAGAACTTAAGGGCATTCAGGGACAAGGCGTTTAGTTACATATGTCCTTAAGTGCAGGGAAATGTACTGAGACACCTTTCGATTCTGAAGGAAAATAAGGAAAATGACAAACACAGAGGCATGCCTTGCACCCCTATTCCCATGTCTCGGTGGGTCTGTAAACAGCCTTCAACCCAGGACTCAGGAACCGCTGCTGGTGCTTGACCCTCGGAAATCGCAGTTCAGGACACTCACCCAAGGAGAACTAGTCCCCCATGTGCCATCAAGAGAGGCCACAAGAATGTACCTGACAGTCTGAAGATTTAAAAAGCTTCAGATCTGTGTGACCTGGCTGCATGCTCTGCAGTTCCCGCAGTACATGGGCTTTATCACATCATGCCCTTTCACCACGACAGACCTCAAACCACACACACCAATTCAGCCACCAACACGGCTTCCTCCCCGTCTGCTCCCAGAGCGATGCCTGGTCCAGTCAGGAGGCCAACAGGGAGGATGTTCTTGTATGTCGTGGCTGAGATACAAGTTATTTTGTCCCAAGGATAGAGCAGGTAGAAGGCAGCCTATAGAATTTATGCCAGATTCCATTCCTCAAATGACCATTTCATAGTTTATTATGAGATAATTGCCTCCAGGCCTATAAGCCTCTGCATGATGTTTAAATCAGAGCCTGGGAGTGAACAGCACCTGGTCTTTCCCCACTTGGCCCGGCTCTGCCCGTGCTGCCTGCCGCCTCTCCTCAGAAGGCTATGTAATAGTGCTCCATGGTGCTGACGATGTCACTCTGGTCCTCCAGGAGCTCCAGCACCTGCTGCAGCACAGCTTCACTCAGGCCCGGGCTGAGGCTCAGGCGGGCACAGGCCAAGATGTGCAGGAAGTGGCAGCCCTTCTCCATGTCTGCAGGAGAAAGGGAGTTGGCTAAGCTTGGACACACCTGTCAGACCCGTCTCCCTCTCCTCCTCCCTCTCCCTCTCCTCCTCCCTCTCCCTCTAAATGAAGCTCTTCTCCATATCTCCAGAACCAGGACCTGCATTTTAACAAGATCCCCAGATGATTCTTATGCACATTACAGTTGGAGATGCACCGGTCTAGATTACCAGTGAAAGTAAAACAAAAAAACCTGTTCTCAAGCAGAGAACACACTTTCACCATACTGACATGGACCCACTGCCCATGGACTCAGGCCTTCAACCTTCAAGCATTCTCAATCAATAATTTTATATCCATAACCTAATGGAATTTTAGTGCTTGATGTTTTTTCTCTAGTGAAATTACATGTATAAGTGCATGTATTCAGTGCTGAATCCCCCTCTTCCCAGGTGGGAGCCCTCCTGAGACTGACAGCAGAGCCAGTTTACAGCGGCTCCATGTTCTCTCCCCTAAGCCCTGAGTGATGGGACTGCCACAGTGAAGAAGGGATTCCTACTCTTGGCCTACTGTTCTCATTACTCTCTCCCTAGGCTTCCAAGAAGTCTTGTCTGTGATGGCTGCGTTCTCGTAACCTCTAACCTCTACTCCAAACTAAGACCATTCGGTGTACAGCGATCAAAGTTCAGGGGCAGTCACCTCTTTCCTAGTTGAACTCAATGATTTAGAGGAGTGCTATTCACACTGAAGTTGTGACCAAGAGGATCATGAAGTCAATTCAGTGGGCTGGGACTGGCATTCTTTTTCTTACTCAACAGACTAGGAAATTACAGAATGTATTACATTATAGTTAGGATAAATATTATTTTGAGAAACTTCATTTCAATTATTTATGTATATATAATTGACATAAAATTTATAATAAAATTTTACAATTATAATGCATACCATATATATATCGTATGCATTATAATTATATAATTTATTGGGCCACGATATAAAATGTATTTGTAACTCTCAGCCAAAGTCAAATCTCATTACTAAAAACAAACCTTCCCCAGTTTTTACTTTAAAGCCCCATGGCAGGGCCTGGCAGGGCCTCTCACTGTTCTGTTCCTGACACTGGCACACAAGCTGCTCCCTGAGTGTTGTTTTCAGATCATAAAATGCTTTAGGCTCCAGGAAGGTGCTCAACGAGGTATCACGGTGTTGGGAAAAGCATGGTTTGGGACTCCGTGCACAGTTGTGGCCTTGGGCAAGTCATTGCGTCTCCAAGCCTCAGTTTTCTCACCTGTGGGGAGGGGGGCACGTCTGAGGTCCTTTCCAGCTCAAGGGTCAGACTATCACAGGCAGTGGTCCTGGGCTAACCAAGACTTGCTAAACTCTGACCTCTAGTGGCTACATCAATTCATTATTCCTCCCCACTGGGGTTACTGTTGGAAAACCTGCCACCTCCACTGGTCACCACCTTTCCAGGCTGTTTCTTCAACATCCATTCGATAAAGATTTCCTGAACACCTCCTACGCGTGTAGTGCTGAGCAAGGAGGAGCCAGTAGAGAGTGGCAGATGCAGAGCTGACTCTGGAGTCTAACAGACCTGAATTCAAGTCCTGGCTACGACTGGGGCAAAGTGGTTCACTTCTCTTAGTATGTTTCCTTGTCTGTAAAATGGGAAGAAAATCACCTACTCTACTAGGTGGGTTGTATGGATGAAAGGAGACCCACGGCAGGTGCTTCTTACAGGGGGAATTACTATGATTCTATCACCAGATCCATAACTTAAGAAGATGCACATAACCTAGTGCCTGCTCTAAAGAAGCTTTAACTCAAGATGACTTACAGGCATATGAGGGGGCCTAAGCAGCGATGCTGACTGCCCCAAAGCCCTCAGCTATTTCTTCAGAAAGGCCATTCTGCCGCCTGAGGGTTGTCTGGTAAGGCTATTCACAGACTGACCTTGCAGTCACGTGGGGAACATGAACTCAGACTCTTTTTCATATGAGAAATTATCCAAAATAGTAAACATAGAAAAAGCCACCAGCAGCTCCCTGGTGGCTAGCACACTGATATCATTCGACTCTCACCAGACAAACCCACCAGCCAAAGGCAGGCTCTTCTGAAAGGTGCTGTCCTGGCAGACAGAGCTTCCTCACAATGCATCTCAAAGAGAAATAATAACCGCGCCTTATATTTTCCCAAGCACTTTTGCTATTGCCTCATTTTATACCGTACCTCTACCAGAAGCCAAAAATGGCTGATGTTCTAATGACTCAAATTATATTAAAATAAATTTCAGATACAATCTACTAACTATAAAAAGTTACAAAAGCACTTTAACAGTAGTTTTAAAAGATTATAATAAGATAAAAAACATTACTCCAATATGAGTAGTGTTAAACAGTATTCAGTTTCCACAAAAAGCAGTTGTCCCGGGGCTGGCCCTGTGGTGTAGTGGTTGAATTCGGTGTACTCTGCTTCGGCGGCCCAGGTTCACGAGTTCGGATCCTGGGCACACACCTACACCACTCGTTGGCAGCCATGCTGTGGCAGCAACCCACATATAAAATAGAGGAAGACCGGCACAGATGTTAGTTCATGGCTAATCTTCCTCAAGCAAATAAAGAGGAAGACTGGCAATGGATGTTAGGGTGAATCTCAGGGTGAATCTTCCTCAGGAAAAAAAAAAAGCAGGTTGTACCATCCGAGGCAAAGAATGAATCTGAGCTAGGTACATGTGTAGCTTTTTGAAAAGCTAATGGTATAAAGTAATCATCTAGTAAAACGTGCCAAGTTAGAAGTTATCAAATGTTAATTTTCATAGGTGTGAAAATGATATCGTGATCATATAGGAGAACGTCCCTATCCTTAGAAAACATGAGCTGAAGTTTTTTTAGTGAATCTAGTGCAGGGTAGGTGGGTGTTTATTGCACTAGTCTTAATTTCTCTTTAGGTTGGAACATTTTCAGAATAAAAAGTTGGGGATAAAAAGATGTCTTTAATGTGAAACTCCTTCTTTTTGGATAATCCACCATTGTTGTACCCATACTTAAAGCCAAAATAAAGATCTTTAACTTTAGCCCAATAATTATAGAGCAAAATCTACACACAGATTCTATCTGAAACTAATTCCTTCCAGATCAACATTAAACCTCACAGAGTAAGCAGCTGGGTCTCTCCAGGCTAGAGAGTTTAAGGGCTGTCACCTGTGCATGAGGAAATAGAATGTCATTGCTATTTCACCCTTTCATAACTCTAAGTTTTGAGCACTCTTTCAAAAGGTTTTTTGGTATGATTCCATTTTTTCCCCCAATTTTTTTTATTGTGGTAAAATGCACATAACATAAAATTTAACATCTTAACTATTTTTAAGTGTACAGTTCAGTGTTATTAAAAACATTGATAATGTTGTACAACCATCACTACCATCCATCTCTATAACTTTTCATCTTGTAAAACGGAAACTCGGTACCCATTTAATAACTCCCCATTTTCCCCTGCCCTCAATCCCTGGCAACCATCATTCTACTTTCTGTCTCTATGATTTTGACTACTCTAAGTCCTCATATAAGTGGATTCATACAGTATTTGTCTTTTTGTGACTGCCTTATTTCACTTAGCATAATGTCCACAAGGATCATCCATGCTATAGCACGTGTCAGAATTTCCTTTTTAAAAGACTGAATAATACTGCATTGTATGTATATGCCATATTTTGTTCATTCACTCATCGGTTGATGAACACATGAGTTGCTTCCACATTTTAGTTACTGTGAATAATGCTGCTATGAACACGGGTGTTCAAATACCTCTTCGAGACCCTGTTTTCAATTCTTTTGGGTATATGCTCAAGTGGAATTCCTGGGTCATATGGCAATTCTACTTTTAATTTTTTGAGGAACCACCACACCATTTTCCACAACGGCTAAGCAATTTTACATTCCCACTAACAGTGCACAAGGGTTCCAATTTCTCCACAACCTTACTAACACTTGTTATTTTCTGGGTTTTTTTATAGTAGCCATCCTAATGGCTGAGTGTTGGGACTCCCCTCAGCCTCAGAGAGACTAACGTCCTCACTTTCATTCCTGATTTTAGTAATTTGAGTCTTGTCTCTTTTTTTCTTAGCCCATCTAGCTAAAGATTGGGCAATTTTGGCAATGTTTTCAAAGAACCAACTTTTGCTTTCATTAATTTTCTCTATTGTTTTCCTGTTCTCTATTTCATCTATCTTTGCTTTAATCTTTATTATTTCCTTCCTTCTGCTAGCTTTGGGTTTAGTTTGTTCTTCTTTTTCTAGTTCCTTAAATTTTAAAGTTAGGTTGTTGATTTGAGATCTTTCTTGTTTTTTTAATGTGTTTAAAGTTCCTCTTGGCACTGCTTTTGCTGTGTCCCATAAGTTTTGGTATGTTGTGTTTTTGTTTTCAACCATCTCTTAAGTATTTTCTAATTTCCTTTGTGATTTCTTCTTTGATCCATTGGTTATTTAAGAGTGTGTTGTTTAATTTCCAGGAATTTGTGAATTTTCCAGTTTTACTTCTGTTATTGACTTCTAACTTCATCCCACTGTGGTCAGAGAAGATATCTATCTTTTCAAATCTATTGAGACTTGATTAGTTACCTAACATATGGTCTATCCTGGAAAATGTCCTATGTACACTTGAGAAGAATGTGTATTCTGTTTTTGTTGGGTAGTGTTTTGTATACATCTATTAGATCTAGTTGATTTATTGTGATGTTTAAGTCCTCTATTTCCTTCCTTATCTTCTGTCCGGTTGTTCTATCCATTATAGAAAGTGGGATACTGACGTCTCCAATTATTATTGTAGAACTGTCTATTTCTCCCTTCAATTGTGTCAGTTTTTACTTTATATATTTTGATGTTTATGATATTTTGATATATTATGATGATACATAAATGTTTATAACTGCTATATCTTCTTGCTGTATTAGACCTTTTATTAATATACAATGTCCTTCTTTGTCTCTAGTAAACTTTTTTGATTTAAAGTCTATTTTGCCTGATATGAGAA